GGTTTAGCGTTGACGCGTTGGCAATCATTTGGGTGCTTTGGAACAAGTCATTCCAAGAGGCACCCTTAGGTGTGCGGTAAACAAGAAATACCACTTACCTGTTAGGCACTGCTTGCAAATTAACTACAGTTAACTGATGCAGCGAAAAGATTTGTCCAACTTCTGAGACTTGAGAAGACGCTAGTTCAAAAACCAACGCTCTGAGCAACACGCAGCAATCTGGTGTGGCGATACATTTTCACACTTATGGAAACCAAAACAGTAATCTGTCACAAGAAAGCCTCATGCCCACCACCATGCCTCGAATGTCATTTTATGAGGTATCCTGGATGTAGCCTTATAAATAGGACAAAAGTCCCTTTCCGCTGGACAATTTCGAAGCTGTATTGTAAGAAATGCTCTCATTGTGAACAGTTGAGGCTGGATCTAGCGATGGAAAGTGGTATTGTATAATAATTAGGATCTGGTTGTGCGTGTGTGTGTGTGGGCCACCTCACCTGTAAAAAGCCACTTCTTGCGTCGACTATGTATTCGGGTGAATCGGTTGGCAGTGGATGCGTCTTTTGCGCAGCCACCGTGACTGTATAGAGCCGACGGTGCGTGGACACACACGCCGTGGCCCACTGCTTGTTAAGCGCTCGAGAATGCAAAATTGGTTGCTGCTTTTTAAGTCAGTTTCTGCCTTGCCATTAGGTGGCAGGCAACCTCGACCCACGCAGGTGTCACTGTAAATACTTCGTTCGGATGAATGCTTTTTACTGTTAGGCACCAAGGAATGCTGGTTCCAATTCGCCTAAATGTGACAAGTTTATTGGCCGTGAATCAGGCAGAAAGTTAGGCAACATTCAGACTGGCGCTTAGTGTAAACAAATGTTTTCTTCTGTGACTTGTTTGACTTATGAGGCAAATTTGAAACCTATTGCAGATGGATAGAATGGTAACAGTGTTCATGCATTTCGTAACACCTTAACATACCAGCACAATCGATTGGATTTTGATTAAACCCATAAGTATTTTCTAGATGGAAGCCTTCTTTTTACGTGAACACCAAATTCATCGTGTAGCATTTTGGGCTTCACAGAAGATGAGATTAATGGAGTGGCGATTTAGTAAAAAAAGAATTATCTTCGTTGTTGCTCGAATACTCTGCACCACAGTCCGGAGAATGCAGAGCCACGTACTGCAATTAATATACTTTGGAGTGTATTAATTACACAGTGACTTACTGAAATCCCATTCATATTTTTTATGGATTCACCTGAAGGCACAGGTTTTGGCTCAAGGATAAAAAATGTGATTTTGTCCCGTTTTTTGTGCGAATTAATGAATGGTTTTAGACGGTTACATTAGAAAAAAAGGGGTCAGACTTTTGATTCTGATAAATGCAAATCAAAACAAGAACACATCGTTGATGTCAAAAAGTAGAATAAACGGTTTTCTTGGTCTGACAAAGTGTTTCTGCACCATTTTCTATCACCTAAATGTCCAGGCAACTAGTCTAGGCATAGTCCCAGTGGGAATGCCTAATAAAGACACCGACTAAGTTCAGGCCAGACATTTCTAATCAGTTTTTTTTTTCAAAAGCTCCCCAATTTTGTACCAAGTCAAAAATAAATACGATAAAAGTTGTCAATTGCTACATCACGCACTTTTGAAAAGAAGATCCTGTGCGATGTTCGTGTGTCATTGAGCGCAAGTTTTGCATTGAGATTCAATTACGTTCAAAGAAACTTTGTGAACGGGTATTTTAGGTAATGTCAACAGCGATTACACCCACTTCTGGATATGTCTTTGTTTTGAATGCAGTATTTTTTTACACTTTTACAGGAACTCGTCTATTAGGACAAACGACTGATTCGAATTTGATCAATTTAGTCACACGAATAAACTTAGACTAGCTGTAACCATCAGCAATTTAAATATTTATAATACAAGGCAATTGCCTTAAGGCACGCATTCCTACTTTAATTTGTTGTTTAATATCTGTAATTGCACAAACAGTGACTAGTCGCGGCCTTATGAAAAGAAGCGGCTTTGAATCGCATTCACACAATTGTTAAGGTTTAAAGGTAGCTAATACCAGTATCAAATATAATTACGCAAAAATTTTTTACCGACTTACAGTTAATCGCTGCAAAGTTGTCCCGCCTACTTAAACCACATTCATAGGCCTGTGGTCTAGCGTATATCTGGCTTGGGTAGCTGCAAATTTATTACCAGCTAATCTGAATTCCTTTGAAAAAAGTTAAACTAATTTGCAAAATGTTGAGGAAAATTGCAAATTTGGAAAAAAACATTGTTGCAGAAATCTCTCAAGAAATCGGTACAGGGACGTAGAAAATGCAACAGCCAGCTCATCTTTGCAAAAATAACAGCAAAAGTATCACATTTTGTTACGCGGTGCCCATAACCAATACCACACACTCCCTCAGGTAACCGGCTATACCCCAGATCCCTTATCAGGCGCAAGCCACTCCACCCTCCCACGCTAATGCACGGCAAGGCACGGCCTCGTGTAGAGAGCTTTTAATGCCTCGGCCAAAGGCCGAGTGATCTTTGAGGATGGGCCCACTTATATGGCCTTGACCTGGTGGATAAAGCGGATTAGCACAGATGGGGCTGTCAGTAGGGTGCCGCGGGTGACTCACTGGAGTGGCGTGGTTTGGGGAATTATGCATACAATGACGGAATCCTAATCCGCGATGAGCCGTCCTGGGCAATGCTGGATCCCCAACACATATGTCTTAGTTTAGGCGACAAATATACACGAAGCCTAGCTGAGCGAAAGCCGATTTAACTTGTTAAACTCTTCACCAACCACTTTATTGTGACAGATAACGGCTGGGGTACCCAGTAAGTTGTTGAAAGCCGTTGAGCGGTGTGTCACCGTGTGTACCTGATGTCTGTGCACTTAGTCATGTGCTGCTGTGATATGGCACACACACCCCCAAATCAAACATCCTAAAGCTAATTTCTGCCACTGAGAGACCCCTGCCACGGCCGCGCTATTTGCCGTACCGGTGTTAGGCCTGGCGTCCGTGGTGTCCAGCCTGGGCGTTGTTTTGTACGACTCCGTACTGTTGCCAAATGCAGTTGCTCGGTCGAGCTCTTCCCGAGGGAGGCACTCATTAAGCTGGTAAAGGTTCCCGATATGCGTTGAATGAGATGGCGGTGACTGCCGTTGTTTTCGCTATCTGTGCATAAAAGTCCATGCCTGATAAATGGGGTTGCTGACCAAAACAGCCTTGGGTGACCTTATAGGAGTAGAAATTGTTGAATGATCAGATGAATGAAGTGGTCAGCAAGAAGGAGTAAGTGCAGAAGGGTGCATGAAGAGACGACGAAAAGCGAAGGGCGTCAGGTCTGGATATGTGAAGACTGTGTTAACGGACGTGAATCAACACAGGTTATTCCAAATTACACTAAACTGAATACTGCAATTTTGATATTTTTGCAACCTCATCCACCCAAATGTCGTTGCTGAAGGACGCGCTTTAAAGCTGATTACTTTTACTCTGTTGTTATTAGAATACTAAAAAAAGGTGCTTTGTGGAATCGACCAGTTGTCCGTAGGACAAATGTTGTGTGAAGCAATTTCGAAATTAGCCCTGACTAGGAAGGTCCCATAAAGGTAATTTAAGATGCTGCCTCAGCCATCAAACTACTGTTGCTTGAGGCTCCAGGCACTCTTTGTACAATTATCTTCACATGAGGTGCACGGGATTTTTACGGTGCTGCTTACCAGTTTCCGTTACAATATTTTGAACGCATCGCAAACTCCAATTACATTAACTGACATCATTGTCAATCAACTTCACACAGCATACTTTCAACAACTCCAATTTCTCATGGGATGCCTCATTTTTAATAACTTCACCAAACTAGTACGCAGTTACTTGTGACTCTGGAAATGACTTGAAGTGATAGTCTTGCAGTGGGTTGAACTATAACAGACCAAAGGTGGTTCGCTTGACTACTCTGTTTTGATTTGGGTCCAAATTTCAATTCCAAAGAGCTCATTTTTGCTTTCCTGGTTAGCATCCCCTCAGATGATCTTGTGGCACACTGAGGTCCCGTGGTGAATAAATAACAGGGCCTATTACCTATGAGAATCTGACCAAGTACAGAATGAAAGGTATTAACCAAATCCAGTTCTTGTGGATCTGATGCGTTTGTGGTTTTATCCAGCGGATAATTTAGAGCAGCTAATTGGCATATTTATTATCCTTTGTCCTGTGTGAATAACTAAGAATGCTTTGTCTATTTTGCAGGAAATAAGGCTTTACGACTGGATTCCGCTAATGATGCAGCGTCTCGGAAACCCGTCTTTACCGAGGTTAGTTCGGTTGTGTCGGCACTGGTTAGATGAAGCTTGTTACACATGTACGCGGATGCATTCATTTCGTGTATTCGTTCCAGCTTAGAGCAGGATAATACTGTTAAGAAGAATACTACAAGGTTTTATTGACACAAGATAATGGGAACTGCAAGGTTACTTTGCTGTTTAATTAAGGATATGCAAATACATTACAGACTTGTCCGAACACACCGCTGCATGCCACTGAACTTTACCGAACCCGTAGTTGACCGAAGACGTTGTCTAGACGTCAGATATGTGATAGAAATAAAGCAGTTAAACTTAACGGCAGTTTGTTTCAGGTTAGCCAGAAACATTCATAAAATCTTGTAAGAACTGCTTGCACTTTACTCAGTAAAGTTTCCAGGTTATTTGCTGGTGTGATGTTCTAATAGAAAAGAATAACTCTAAACATTTTCTTTTGAGAAAATTCGCGATACTTGAGTGTGCGTGTGCTTTCTACTCTGCATTGTCAAGTGGTAAGTTTGGTAAATATTAAGTTAATCCACTGAAATTAGTGCATTCAGGTGGAAATGTGTGCATTATAACTTCATCTTTCCCATATTAATGCACTCCTAACTCCAATAACGCATGGAGCCATTTCAAGTTGATTATTTTAAAAGAAACCTCAAACTAACTGCAAATGCTGCTTACCTTTAAGGTGGTTCCTGCGCCCTGGGTTAATTCTTCATCAGCAGTGCATTCGCCGGTGGCGTTCGCGTATCCCGTTTCGCCCCACTTAATGCAGCAACGCCAACAGCAGGTTTACTTGCGCAGCCCAGCGGGAAATCCGCACACCTCCCCGGGGCAGGGGGTCAAGTCGGCGACATTGAAGAGTCCCAATCGTTTCGCGCAGATCGCACCGACGCCGACATTCACGCCATCGGCTGTGGTCTTTCGGAATTACCGAGTTACTGGCGGCGACATGGGCTACCAGACTGCCACTGTGCCCCGACCACCCGAAACATTCCAACCTGTTGATAACCAGTACGCTGGAGGAGTTGGCGGTGTCTGTGTGTCGTCAAACAACAGCTCTCTGCTATCAAAAACTAGCGGTCTAATTGACACTAGCGACTGCAAAAGCGGTGAGCCAGTATTGCCTAAGGCTGCGCGAAGTTAATCCAAAATTCACAGTAATTTAAAGAAGGCAACAGCAAGATTAATTGTCTTGCATTCTCAGCATGGATTCGAAGTGCCTTCGCATGTCAGAGTCCTTGTATTTGTAAACATTTTACCTACTCCCGCACTTCTATAGATGTTCATAAAGCACCATAGAGCAGCACAGGTTATGATGTTGAAGCAATAAACTTTAAAATTTCTGACATGTTAATCAATGCTTATTGTTATTATGATGAAACATCATTATTATTTAAAAGGCTGCCTAATTCGAATGAATGAAACAGCCAAAGCCAACTGTGCCAGAGGCAGGCAGAATTCTTCTGAATGCAGTGATCCCATGCCACAAGAAAACTCCCCATCAAGTTATCAGCGTCTGACCCATGAAAATGCTCCAACCCCAACTGCGTCGCCCTACGTCCTTCGACTTCAGAATGACTCATCGCCACTCCGCTTACCAAGTCGTCAATTGGCTGACAATCCCCAAAAGCGAGAGTTCTACCCACCGCCTGCTGCCGGAAACCGGCCTACTTTTGTGACGCCACCACGAAACCGACACGCGACCTCGGCTAGACCAGCCTTCCGCAGTCTGTCCATCGACTCCAACCTGGACGCCTTCTCCTCGTCCGACTACCTTTTCACTGCCGCCTCGCCGAAGCAAGGGCGGGCTCTGCATCTGAAGGCGCTGCCACCTCCCCTGGCTGCACCTGACAAGCGCATGAACTTCATTACCAGCGCGAAGGCTCTTAGTCCCGAAATTCGCGGGAGTTTTGTGTGACGGACAATCCAGACAACGCTATCCTTCACCCCTTCGTTCTTGATTTGCGTGTGCATTCATTGCTTTGTAAAGTTAAGCGAGTAAACCAGATTTATGCAAACTGTAGTTTTGCCTCTAGGCTTAAAATTTGAGCCGGTTCACAATGTGACAGACCGGTGTGTACTGTCGGCACGAAGTCATCATGAACCAATCGAATGCACACTTAAAATAATTGACAAATTACCTGAAATATCATCATGAATACCAAGTGGGTCAAATTCACTAACACCAAATAATCCAAATTTGCTGAATAAACTTTTTTTTTGGATTTTCTTTTAAGAAGGCTCATTATTCACTTCAATTTTACCACTGACTTGATTCGCATTGGGAATGGCTCACTCGCTTCTTCGTTCATTTACAACCATGATATCGTGCAATCTAGCTAGTATATTTAAAAAGTTTACGGCAAAAATAAACACAACTCATGATGCAACATACGTTGTCAAAATTTGGGTCCCGATTCGGCAAATTGGAGCGTTTAACTGGCCGTGCAAAACACGCTTTTCAATAATGTTATTATTTTAGAAATTTTCATATTAAAAGAGGAAATAACGAGAGAGCTGGTTGTGGGCCCCAGCATGTGGTCTTGAACCACCCCGGGGCCACGGAATTAACCCTGGCCCGATTACGTTTCCTTGATACCTGCGATGAAGGAAAAGACCGGAGAGGACGTGGACACAAGCGTTTACTTCGGAGCTCAACCACGTCGGTATCGTGTGTGGTGTTTGGGCGTGCGTATTTATACTTCAGATGCGTGAGTCATACATGCGCTAACATCGAGAACTCGGTGTGGGGGTACTCCAAGATAAATATCCGTGTTAAGGGGGGGGAGTTGAGGATCCACGCGCCTGGCTACATTCTGCGAAGAGGGTAACCGAAGAGGTGGAGCGACCGGATTAAGGGGCATGAAAAAACACGATTCACAACAAGCTTGACAGGTAGACATAACATAAACGTTTTCCATCTTCTATTTCAATCAACAATCTTGATGACATTTCAAGTTCAATAGATCAGACGTACATGTCACTATAGGCTAATCGGTCGATATATGCCTAAACATGTTGACCCCTTATTCACTAACTGTTAATTGATTACTACAGCGCACTAGTTCATGCTCTTCACATCAGGAACCCGTCCAATGTAACATAGTGAAAATGTCGTCATAGTAACCAAGTCTCGAGGACCCCAGGGTTCCAATGGGTCCTATGTCACAAAAAGTTATGGACCAATGTGAATTGTAAAAATTTTCATAACCATTCCTATTTGCCGACTGTGAGTCATGCTAAATTCTAGGAAAAAGAGAAGTGATTTCCACGAAGAATGGTAAACAGGCCGTTTAATGAAGCAAGTAATGGTCAGGTCTAATTCTAAGCTTCAGCCTTTCCACGGGAATGGAACCGAAATTCACTTCAGTAAATATCTGTCCAGTCACAAAGCAGTAAACTATCCCAGAAAACGATTATAACTTGTAAATAGACCGACTCCTGATCTGTTTATTGACTTGTTATCATTATTGTCAGACGTTAAATGTGCCTAACGACCTTTTAAGCGGTAAAATGTCGTAGCGCATATTCATCCAACCATTTACAAGCCCAATTATCTATTTAGTCATTCAAATTCTTATACAGACGTGTTTGACAACTCGTTCCTTATTGAAGATACCCTCCTCTTCCTCAGTGATAAGCATAGTAACGTAAGCACATGCCAACCTACGGAGATGCACCTCACCAATCGACTAAATAAATGGAAAATCTGCATCATTCAGTTAGATCATCACCCTTATTCCAAATTTAGTGAGTACTATAGCTGTCGACACACAGAGGTTATGCACTGCGAATTTAATTGTAAGCTAGCCATTTGAACATTTGTCTCAAACAAAACACATTTACCCTTTTTGGCCAAAGCATTCAAACTGTCTCAAGAGATGCTAGCATTCAGAAAGCAGTAAGTCAGTTCGGTGGCCAACTGGATTTAGTTCAATAAAAGTAGCTTTGGGTGGGCAATCATTCCAAAACACCATCATCACATTGTAATCACAAAATCGCCGCAGCCCCACTCTGAATAATTTTAAGACCTATACGTCGACCTGCGAAATAAGAAAGCCGAGACCAGGTAAATGGGGTGATGGGAACATGTGTTGACTTTCAGAGCTTTAATCTATTCAAAAAGCACGTGGGAACATTTATTAATTAGTTTCAAATATTGCATGTCAAGAAATTATAATTGGATCCTAAAAGAATTCCTAAATAACTTCAAGATTAAGGGAACGAGAAAAAAATGTATGAGAATGTCAAATTGTTATCAGAATGACAGAAAACCTCTGTTCCTTGGATTAGGGTTTGTTACTTAGGCAAGATAATTGTCTCAGCTTGAAAAGAGCGGATCAGCTATGTTCGCAGTCATGTCATGTTTCAATATTACCCACACAGAATTAATGGTAATAATATATTCTGGTGAGTTACCTATACAGGAAAAATATCGGGTTTAGGATTCAAATGACTGGGTAGGACCCATATCTTCATGATCGTCAACCTGTTTATAAGAGCACAAATCATGTGGCTAATTGTTTTAGGTTCACAAATTAAATGCAAAATGTTTCGATTCAAAGCAAGCAAATTTAAAAGAACTCAATGCATCCCTTTTGTCTCCCACGCCCATCAAAAAGAAATGCCTAGTGAAATTTTGGCATCATTTATATTTGTACCTCTGAAAAAAACATCGTGTCCGTCCTCCTAGGTAATTAATACAATTTTTTAAAGAACAACAGTTTTAATTAAAATTCTTGTGACAATGTATTTGCTTCTTTTGAACGGTGTAAACGATTTGGAGTCGATTTCCCACAATCATTATGACTTCGTGTCTGTATAGAACTGTTAAGTAGTGAAGAATACCCAAGCCCCTGCATAAAAAATGCTGGTACAACACAACAGGCTTTATTGACCATTCCCAAGCCAGAACCACATGACAGGCACCGTCAATCCGAGGCCTCCATGCTGGCTGCGCTACCCATTATGTATCTCTTCTCATACGTGTCTGTCTTTGGTTGCCAGCAAATCTTCCCCGCATGCCATTAAAACGCAGAGAAGAGGATTGGATGAGTAAGGCGTGGCCCAATATGTCCGCGGCTATATAAACGTCGCTACAAGTTGTCAATTTGGCCCCAAAGGATTACTGAAGTTCCGCGTCATTTATTTTAGTGTTAAACACCTGTAAATTGTAAGTTGCTATAACTTGATGTGTTTGCCTTTGCATTACAAGTGTTTATCACTAACATTAATCGCCCCTGTATACATTATGTGAAATGTTTTTGCACAAGTTGTCTAATTTGAGGTTGGTCCTTTTGACTTAGTTTCGTCACAATGAAGCATATGAGTGACCGAATATTCAGCTCACCGGTCAGGTTCTGTTTTTTATTGTTACCGCTTTATTTCAAGCACAAATTGCCTTACAGCAGCACGAGTGATATATTGGCACATCTGTTTACGAAAGCTGCCCTATAAAGCCTGTGTAAATGCTGTGTATGCGACGATCTCTATTTCAGTGATGCAACGGTTGTCACGTATTCTTTTGGAGCCACACAGTGCTTAGTGAAACATGTTACTTTTGGTCACAATTATCACGTTGTGTTTTGTAACGTGGATATTGGATACAAAAACCTGAAATAGTTTCTATAACGAGTAAAGTTCAACAATTGTCTCAAAAGGTTTCTAATAAGAACGTAAATTTTGTCAGTTTTTTATTTTTATAGTCTGAGGAAAAGAAGGAATTTTCCGTGGTTTCGCAGAGTGTTGTACCAGTTTGTTGGAATTGTAATCATTCAATTATTATTAGAACAGCCATAGGCTTGCTTGTAGTAATTTGGGTACATAAAACTTTGGACAAGGTTGTCGCGGTCGGCGACCCATTCTCAAGTTTACATTTCAAGTATCAAGCATTTTGGCGAGGCCCATTTTAAGCTATTGTCTGACTCGTCATTCCGGCAGTGCACGCCACCGTAGCCTGCCGTTTGTCCACGCGTGTTCTGCCTTGATCTGCCCTTCTTACTTGTCCCACAACCATTCGTTGCACCTATGGGTCAGCAAGCCGGCTTCAACGTACCCTAAGCACATCCATTTGCCTTACATACGCTAACCATTTCTGCACTTTTATGCTTTCAGTGCATCTTGATGTGTGTAATATAGTAGGTTCCCAGTATTATTGTGTCTAGAAAATAGTCAACCATGACATTGTGGCTATCCTCTGAATGATATTTTAACAGTAATTACTCGATCTCCACTTGGTATTCTCGTTACAATTGAACTACTTTCTATCCGTAAAATTACCTTGCAAAAGCAGGCATATGACTGCAAATAACTGTGGTTAGGGAGTGTGAGGTATTGGGAACAGGCTGTTTAATAAATTCCTTAGTCCCTTAAATCAATCGGCCAGCGAATCCTGCTTGTGGTGTACGAAAGTGTCATGATTTCAAAATGGTTATTTCTGTCTCAGACGTCATTTATCCTCAACACTGCTTTACGTATGAGTGTTTCTAGGTTGCCTTTTGCAAAAGACATGGATGAAAGGATCCTAGAATGTCCGATTTGCCTTGAACAATTCAAAGTGCCCACAATGCTTCCTTGCCAACATTCTTTCTGTCAGGAATGTATTTTAAAATACATACATGGAAAAGGACGATTTTGCCCGGTGTGTTCCCAGACATTTCAGGAACCTGACATGCGCAAAAACCTTTTGCTCGGACAAATAATTGACAGCACGAATATGGTAAGCCCATTATTCACTTTTTTTGTAACTTGTTGAGCACTACAAGATGGGTTGTTGACAAATCGGAAATTTAGCAGTGCCAACCGTAGAGCAACGGTAATTGGTTGAAATAAATTATGGTAGCAATGGTAGTCTTATGGGAAGTTGTGTAACATTAGCCTTTTTAAAGTATTGGTTTTAGTTGATGGCTACACGATGTCGCAAGACGATAAAGTCAAGTCTTTGTTGTATCTTGGGGGACCCTTTTGTGTTTGCAAATTTGCTCATTTTACTCTACAGTACATAAAGCTAGTTAGTGTATATTGTAACTGAGGCATAAGTTGTGTGTAAACGCAGAACCAATGATAATTCAAGTAGCCAGACGCTTTGTTCACGTGGGTAACACAGACGCTTTTTGCGTGCTGCCACACTTTCGATCCGTGTAGTCGAGGCACACACACACACATTAGAGCAACAAAAGTGCACGTTTGGAGGGCGAGCTGTGTCGCTGTTGTTGTAGGATCCAGGTAATGTAATTTAAGCAGGTTGATTTGCTCTTAAAATGCACAAGCCACCGCATTAGACGCTGGTTGTTATAGTGTTTTCAGTGCTTTATAGTAAAATTAAAAGCAGTCGTTGAAAGTCTCGCTGTGATTTTTGAAGCTCAGTTCCTTTGCCTTGTTAGCATTAGTTATGTGCGTTGGTGATTGGTAGCAATCGTAGAACATAATTCTTGGTGAGGGTAAAAGTGTCGGACCGTTGTTCGCTTGTTCACCCCTAAATTAGTGCTTTTATGTCCTCATTTAGAATCGAAAATCACCCCCCCAAGCCTCGAATTATTCATCACGAATTCCACCAAGCTCGTCCCCTAACTCACAGGTCACACAAGGAGTTCCTAATTGGGGTGCTGCAGCCATCGGAGTTGCTGGTGTTGCTGTCGGCGTTCTCGGGGCCTTACTAGGGTGAGACTACAATGCATCACAGCCACCTTTTGTTCTGCTAGTAGAGGCTATTTAGGTCGCCAATTTGTCGTCGCTCCTCCACAGATGTCGAACCACAACGTGTGACCAGAAAAGAGAAAAAGTGGCATGGACAGTGCAGCGACTCAAACGCCGGTTGTGTCAGTAGCTGGGTGGTCATATTGAATGACCAAGTGCAACTTTGGCGTGCAATCGGTCTTGATTTCCGGTAAACAGGGGGAGGCAGTATTATTTGAATAATAAAAGAAATTAGGGTTCTTGGCCTAGCATGAAAATTCTAGCACCAAACAGATTGTCTTTTTTTCCATCCAAGCGAATGAGAACTTTAGGATTGATATTCTCTTGGCGAACAGTGTTATGTGAACATTACTCTGCGCTTCCTTCCAGGTCTGAATCGAATTTAAATGCTGTCGTTTTTGAGGTGTTTTCGCTGAAGGAGACCTGGCCGCAATCGCTACCCACATTTAATGTCTTAAAGTTGATTACCTGTATCGCGTTCCCACGAGTCTTGTTTCTATGCATCGTCATTACTTTCATTTTTCAGCGTGTCTATGACTAAGAAGAGGAATAAATAGAATCCTCGTTATCCTCTAAATGCACGGACAAAATTACTCCGAACGCATGCTCCAAAGATCCATCGGATCTTTTCGCTACCCTGAGTACAACGACTCTTTCGGCTCTTTTTTATCTCAAGTTGAAGTATTAAATTTGATTTGGACAGTGAAGTCAGACGTGCATAATTTTATGTAGTGACCCAGTTCCTGGCTTGAAGTCTTGTGGTATTTTTTGCAGTGTAATAATGTGGGGTCAGAAGTAGCCACACTAAATTACGAGCATTGAGGTGCTTTCGAGTTTCTTTGATTCCGATTAGATGCCACAGGGTTAGATGTCACCTAGCTCATAAGTCGCTTTGTTGTGGATGCTTTTTGGAAAATTACTGTGTTCTCAAGTACGACCAATTGAGGACACACCACATACAACCGAAGTTTGTATATGGTGAAGTCTACTTGTGGAGGGTGCTACAGTAATGTCTGGATGATATATGCATCAAAAGCTGAATGCTGCCGGACGGTTGGAAAATTATTTAAGGTTCAATTAGGTAGTGAAGTACTTCAAAGTAATGCGTCTACATATTCCAATTGACAGTCCCTATATGTAACTAGTAGACATTGCAGTTGGTAGACTATATTGGTGGTCTTCGTGACCACTACACGCTTCCCGATTATCCAGCAACTGCGTACATTAACTCTAACCTTTTGAATACGTTCACCGCAAAGTCATCAATCATCTAAATAAGCCCATAGTTCACCTGCCAGGCAATGTGTGTCGAGATGCGTTGGCGTGTGGATTCACATGAAGCGCGAATGAATATAGAACGGGGTGTCACAGGCCAGTGATTTTGTAAAACAGTGTTTGGGGCAAACCTGTTTCCTTATACTATCACTTCTCCCGAGTTGACAACCGAAGCGCACGCATTGCATTCTTCAGAGGGTTAACAAAGACGTCAAAATGCATGTCTCTAATGCCGAAGGAGGAGGCGTCAGTTGTCAAGGTGATCTGCATCTTTGGGATGTAATTAGTCAGTTGGCGTGCAAGATAGCGTAAATATTATGTCTACAAGTTTGTTTGCATACATGAATGATCGTACACGGAACACATTAGGTTTGAGGTAGCAGTTTAATGACAACGTAAGTGAGACTATCATTTAACATATGTAAACGCGACTCAAACGAGTCTTCGAACTAGAGTAAGAAATCTGCAAAAACTAGCTTAGGTCTAAATGGGGAAGTACTGTTGTCTTCTCATTTGCTAGTTACGATTTTGTCTGTGAGGAGCCCTAGGTACATTTTGTTACAAGTCAAAGAAATCCGATTTAAGTAATGCAAATCTCTTTGGAAGTGTTGTCGCCAACATGGATCAGTGAAATTAGTTGACTCCATATTTAAACTGTATTTTAAGAAAAGTCGGACAATATTATGTAGTGACGCACTAAGTCGTAGCTTGGCTGCGTTTTGTTTAGATCTGCCGGAGCCCATCCATGGTACATAATAATTCCATCTAATTTTACGACGTTTCTGCTTATTTACGTGTATAAATTTTACAAAATTACAACGAATGAAACTTGAGAGACTCAGAAATGATCTTTCCTGGAATCGAGACTGGAAATATGGCAAGAACTGTAAACAATGTATTTCTTTGGTCTGCTGTTTTAATAATGGCCTGTCGTCAAATTGACTAGAAAATTTGGTACATAAATTTGTCCAAATCAGTTGCATATCGTCCTGGGCCATTCCACGTTTCCGATTAAATGGTGGCGAGTCGTTTTCCCCAACAATGTATTCAACGGGCAGAGATTGACCGACGGAAACACACCACCTGACAATTCGCCATCATTCCTGGGGTGTACGTTAAACTCAAAGCGGTGGTGATGAAAAAAATGCATTAAAGGCGCACTCTGTGCGGCGATTGGCAAAGGAGAATATTGGCTATAGGAATATATAAATTAAAGTCGATGACTTTATTAAGTCATTCTAAGCGTATCATCGAAGGTAATCGTGGAAGCCACTATCAAACTTATAAATAAACACAAACACATAGTGGTAAATCGTAAACACGAGTCAACCATGCTGTATAAGAAGTTCGAAAAATCCATAAATATCCATTTTAACATAGTAGCATCATGGATGGATCTTAGTTGGATTCTTGGGTTTTGTTAAAATACTCATCCAAAGCAACTAAATACTGAGATTTTATACTATCTGAAAGTCTCAAAAGATTATATTATTGGCCAAAACATCGTATTAGTTGCAATATTTAAGTATAAATTTAAATATGACATTGCACTCAAAGAAAGCAGAGGAAACTCATTCTCTTTAGATAAAAATCAGACACACTTAAAATTCAGTACCCATAAACCACAGTTATATAAACTAACTGATATCTCTACATCTGACTTGTTTCGGTATTTGCAATTTTATTGAAAATGCTAGTTTGTTTTAATATACTACTGTTATTTGTAGGTCCAAGTGTAGCTGTGCGGAAGTCAAATGTACATTTATGTAGTTTGTTTGTTGTTTTTGATTCTTTCGAAAATGCATAACGATGTTAACGAAGAATTACTTTGTGTTTATAATACAAGCATTCGCACAAATTATGCAATTATAAAATAATTAAAAATGATACATTTCTCTTCCATAAAATATCTTTTTATTCTTTTAATTTACGATATATGATGAATTCACCTGCACTAATTATTGCACTTAGAAATAGAAGTGAAATTCATTCGATGAACATGCACTTCACTGAAGTCCGTTGCTCGAATATGGCCTAGTGTTTCATACCATTCACGTTTTTGCTAGTGTTTAAATCCTAGCCTAAACGATAGTCTGCACAAAAATTATACATTTTTTGGAATTCCAAATTTTTTTTTCTATAGTTTAATAGCTGCAAATATGTGTATGGTAATATTTCTTTGGCACCGCTCTCTTGTTATTCTGGGGTTTGCATTGTCAGGTAGGTATGTCAGTTGCCAGAATGAATCTGGGTATCGTGGTATCTAATTTAGTTAGTAGCACCATAATAAACAGATTAAAAATATATTTAAATAACGCTATATGCACTCTCCCTTTATAAATTATCATTAACTTCATTCTTTAGCAGGATTTATATTTAAATAAATGATATCTATGGAATACTTGCAGTGAAATTGGCTATTTGATTTTGACCGATATTCTGCGGCCACTTACGCGGCTAACTCGTTCATGTATCTTGGAAGCATCAATCCAGAGATTAGCCAATTCCGAATTTAATTTTTAGCTTAAGTCCCTGATTTAAGTATCAAATGAATTTAAACTCAATTTTTTCAGCGCCCAGTTTACATATATTCTCTTTACACCGTCTTGCGATTAAACAAAGGAGTGTCGTCACGTCTGGCTTTCTTTTATGTGTTAGTAACTTCCATGTGTTAGCGCATGTGCTCTGAATCTTATTTTTTTATTTTTCACCGAAACACCTATCAAGATGTAACGCAGGTGTTTTGTAATTCTCGTAGCATTGGTGAAAAGATCACAATTTATTTTGTTTTTTAGCACAATTCAGGAATTTCAACTTACACGTTATCGTCACCGTTTAAGGGTCCGGATCAGTACGATATCGCAAAGCAACCCTGGTTCCACGGGCCTTTGAGCTCAGCTGACGCAGAAACGCGTCTGCTGAATGACGGTTCATTTTTGGTTATCAACAGTAACAATGATCCATCAGCATATTATTTGTATATACGATGGAATGGCCAGTGTCTCACAGTCAGGATTCAATACGACAAAGTCACTGACGAATACAGTTTAGGATCGAAAGCATTTAGAACTGTGGCTGAACTAGTACATTTCTACAAGGAAAACCAGCTACCTATTAGCGATGATTGTGGAGCCATACTTTTTACACCAATTTCTGTGCCCGTTAACACCAGCGAAATTAAACCTATGCAAGCCTTTTCTATCTTGAACAAAAACGCTCAAAATAAAGAAATTGGAGGCCGTTATTCGCGGAAAGGCACTGCAAAGGTAAATATATTTTTCAAATCAACACACGTGCAGTTGATTCGGTAGTCATTTACAATATCAACGAACTTGGAAGATTTAGGTTTATTTTAATGTAGTTTGAGATCAATTTTTTGAGAAGAACACTTTTACATCTGTGGCCAAGCAAATGACTGACGTAGGATGACAATGAAATCGCCATTCACGAGTTTGACATTATATCATCTGGTGGACATTGATGTAATCCTTCACAATTTTGAAATTAGATATTTCGGGTGATTGGACTATTTAAGCACTCTGATATTTCTTTACATTTTTGTGATTATTTGCATTCTGAAATATGTTTTACGTGCTAAATTTAGAACAACTGTTCGTAGTATTTATTCTCGAGTTCGCAAATGCCACCATAAAGGAACTACTCAAAATGTGTACTTTTGTGCGCATAAGGATTAAATGAACCACCACCTGGTGTGATCTTTTGTGCCTGGAAAATCACTGCAGTGGTACAAAGTCAGTAACCAGTCAGATTGAAATGTTAGTTTATAAAGAAACATTATGGCCCCGTGAGATGGGACAAAGCCATCTTCTGCACGTTTTTCTGTTTGCGGGACAATCAGTTTGTGTACAATGCGCACTTTCTCAAACGGGATCTTTTTGCAATAAACCAATTCGCGGTCACCTGACTTTCAAACATCCTAAAAGGTCATCTTTTGTGTTTGCAAGTTGACGAATCAGTTTAAATGGATCTTTTAGTGCGATGCTTGTCATTACTTCGTTGTAAGTTAAACTTAGACTATAAGTGGTAGTAAATAAAGCAGACAGCTTCCATACTAAATAGAAAGACATGCGTTTAAAGATGGTATTTACATATGTTCTTAATGTGGTTTAGGTTCATTTTAGATTAAATCGTTTCCACCATTAATTCCAGTGACGCCCTCTACCTTGATTGCCATAGGTCGCCAACAATTACAACAAACATGTGGAAAGCCGAAGCTTGCCTCGAAATTCCTCCAATTCGTCTGTCACGCCAAGACTGAACAGAAAACAGATTCGATATCTTCCTATGGCCGATAAACCTACTCACTTTGGACAAGCCAATACAAACCGGTCTCTTTGCAATCTGACGTCAATATACTGTGACCCCTCAGCTTTTGGCGGTAGCACACTTAGTTTGCCCAGCATTTCTGCCACAGATTTGCCATCGACGGCCACCATATCCTACCGACTGGCCACAATGTGCCGAGGATTTATAGACTATGACTTAACACACGCCCAGGTACCAATAGGCAAAGTTGCCAAGCCACTGGACTTTGATATTTGGGAAGCTGTGGGCAGGTATTTGTTGGCTGCGGGTGCTAAGAATGTGGCGGCTTGTTTAGTAGCGGAAACCGCAAATTTGCTTCTCCTCAAATGGGTTTCAATAGAATTGCCGAATACTTCTCAGCCTTCGGATGGATTCTCGCTGCTACTGTGGCCTGCTGCTAACGGATATCGTCGAGATCTATTTAACAGGTGAGCTGCAACGGTGGACCATGACGTGCACGACTCCCTCACAAAAGCATCGCCTGATCCTTTTCCAAGTGCAAAATTCATTAAAGGCCTCCTACTTCTGTCCATGACGGAAGATTAACTATCTTTGTAAAAGTCAGAGTTTGCAAGCATCATCTGTTTGAATATACTAATATTTAACTTTACGAATGTGCAAATTTTAGGGACCGGTTCTTGTCAATGTTTGTAACAACTTCTATCGTCATTCAAAAAGATGCAAAGTTAAAATCTGATCTGCTGATTCTGTGGATGAAGATCATGACGAAATTAATGGGGAAATACAAGGACTACCTCACTACAAGTGCCCTCGTGGAAGCCGTTTGCTCTGACGAGGTGTGTTTTCCTTCATTTCAAATCCTCAGTGGTGTTTTTTAATTAAACTAAGTGTTGTCGTGCCAGCCTTTTATGTCATATGCTCACTATTTATAAAGAATAGTCAAATATGTCCGATCAGGATGAAAGACAGCGCCGGCAGGTTAAAAAGAACAATTCTACCCTCAACCCTGTTGGCGTGGTTTTTCTATTTTTGGAATTTGGCTACTGACTTTTCCGCTGGCAGGCAGGTAACGCAGACACTGCACACGGACATAGTTTACGACAGATTGTGCAAAAGGCATTTTAATCATTATGCTTCCTGCATGGATGACATTTCCTCCAGATCTGCTTATCTCACGGGATCGTGGTTCTTCAGCCGACACCTTCGACCTCAATTCAAGTATTTGTAGTATTCGTCGCCAAAATCTGAATCAACTGGTTGAATGCTTTGTTTTTTAAAAAAAAGGATAATGACATCATGGTGAAACACAACCAAATTTAAATTAGATTAAGCTGTACTCCGCGAACATTAAGTCGAGTGGTGGGTGTGTGTGTAAAGCAGATTGCCCACAGTGATGAAAGGCACGCATTTAAATGAGCACCACAGTGGTTTCTAGGACTCGTTGCATCAATTAGCATCAAATATTAGTTCGAGCATTAGTAGACAAGTAAACAAATTCATCAGACGTCACACGAGACAAATGATTGATGGAAAAAATTGGCAATTTGACAAAAAAATCGGTGTTAAATTGAGTAGACAAAATATCTGTAGCGGGCCTCATTGCGGAACCACACGAGGACCGGCGATCCACACTGACACGGCCCAACCGGAAGACAGGTAAAAATGCAGATGGCGCGCCGGTCAACTAGTTTATCAAAGCAGTAGCGAGAGGAGTGTACAAGAGAGCAAGTTATTTTATGTAGGATCGACTAAACACTGATCTCTGAACGAACACAGTTACGCGAGGAATGCTGGTTTGATGTGGTCAATAGATACGGCGATTTGTTCGACGATGAAAACCTTTTCTTCTCTTCTGAGTATTCTGAATGGTCCATCGTAGGTGGGTTGGAGTGGTCGACGAATGGCATCGTGCCTGATGAAAACATGAGTGCAAGAGTACAGTGTATTTGGGATGTAGTATGAAGTGGAGGATGAGCGAGGTTGAGTTAGTATCAGTTTGCTCATTGCTTTCCTCAAATCAATAACGTAGCTGCTGGTGTCCGGCCACGTTGGTCGAAGGTTGATTCTGACGATTGTCCATGTCGGGGTCGCCAATTTGTAGCGGGCCCCAGTGCGGTTTTGGGGAACCACATGAGGGCCGGCGATCTACACTGACACGGCCCGACCGAAAGCAGAGTAAAAATGCAGACAACGAGTAGGTCAACTGATTTATTAAAGCGGTAACGAGGGGAGTGTACAAGAGAGCAAGTTAGTTTATCCAGGTTCGGCTAAACACCGATCGCTGAACGAACACCGTTACGCGAGGCGCATTCACGTAAATCAACTGAATCGTGTTTGTTCACGCTTGTTACTAGCGTTAACTCACGATTGCTGTGTTTTCTTACTGCTCGCCACATGTCCCCCCACCAAGTCGGATGAAGTTGCATATTTGTATTCACCGCGCAACGACTCAAATAATCAAATAACCCACAAAACACACCAAACTGGTTTGAAATTTTTTCTAAACGGGATTCCTTTTCGCGAATATTGTTGTTGATTTTGAGATCGCACTGCCCTCACACTCGTGATCACTAGCCACGTCTGCAGGCAGTGCTAGCGCTTGTATGTGATTGAGCAGGAATTCGTTAATACGCCACTAAACTTTCCATCGCGCTATCCGGCGAATGTTGCCTTAAGGTGCACATCCACCTTGCTCGTTTAATTTTTTGCCGTTGTGTTAATCCGCTCAGAAGTTCGCCATTTATTTGAATAATTTTGATGACTTGAGTTTTAAATTGACTCAGACGAAAGCCTGGCATTTTCTATTGCCTTTTTGCATTGTTAAGCAGCGGAAGTCACCAATATGATCTCACCATCTGTAACCAATTGGTAGAAGTTCGTAAGTGTGACCTCGAGGGCAAACTACAAGTCTGACTACACAAAGTTGATTTTTTTTAACTCTTGCCCACTGTGACATTATAATGTGCCACTGAGACAAATGGTTATAATAATGATGATGCTGATACGAGCAAAGTTGCAGGTTGAACAAGGCAAAATAAAACCAGTGGTTGAGCTCACAAGGTGCGTGATATTTTTTTAGATTTCGAAACAGAATCTTGAATGGGAGCATGAATTGTCGGATGGAGAAAGCGAAGAGGCAATGAATCAGCTGAAATGCGCCCTTGCAGATGGTCGTCGTCGTCGTCGGTGTCGTGAGGAAGTCCCCGTTGAAGAGGCAGCCTCGTGTCTGGCGCAGATCGGCCAGTGCGTGCCCAACATCGCTCCGCTTGTTACAATTCTGTACCGAGCCCAGTCTCCACACGCAGATTCTGGATGCATTCCATCATTGGATCTGATGGATAAACTTACTGTAACGAGGGGCATTTTTCGGAGGAAAGGAGGTGAAATCGGGACTGCTGACCTATGGGTCAGCAAACTATGGCAACAGCTGGTGACTTCTAAGGTGGGTCTGTGGCGTGTTTAGTGTGAATCTACCGTCTAGCATTAGCAATCATTTTCATAGACAATAAGTTCAGTAGTCATTTTAAACATGGCCACTTCACTTTATTCAAGGCATCGTCGTTGTGGTTTCAAATTCATCCCCAAGATTGCGGCATTTTGCAAGCAAGAAGATGCGTCAGTGTTTTTTGCCGCCAACTTTAGAACTGCAAGTGTGTACCTTGTAAAAAGGTGAGGTGAAAAGATGAGAACTAACGATGGGAAATGAAAAATGGTCTGTGGTATACAATGATCTACCCAAAAAAGGTTACATTGTACGGCAGATAATGTTGAACACATCTGCAGCACATTGTACAACCTGTGGTTTGTAAATTTGTAGAACCATGGCGAACTTCAATTAATCTTTAAAACCGAAAGTTTGCTGCTTCTGTTGCTGGGTCCAGTGGACGTTGGCGAAAGCGCAGTCGTCGAGACGTGCTTCGCAAAATTGTCAACAATTCTCTCTTACTTATCTGATACTTGACAGACCCAATAACGAGGCGTGTACTATTAAGAGCATTCTGTATTCTAACTGGACTTATAAGCCAACAGAGACAACTATTCTTTACGATAATAAAAGAATTGTAATTCTGGATTACTTCCGGAGCTTTTTATTTTAAAAGATTAAAATGCAAATTGTATTTCAAATTTGAAAAGTTCGTTTAGAATAAGCGAACATTCTTTGCGTTCGTCAGTCCATTAAATCGATTACCTTAGTCAATTAAAGTAAAAACTCCTTTTTACTTATAATAGTTAGTAGACAGTTCATTTATTTTATTTAAATGAACAAAAATTTTTTCTAAGTCAAGTGTCGAAAATGGATGCCACTAGAAAAAGATTACTAAAGCATATATTTAAATTAATTTAGGAAACCGAATAGCAAATTTTATTTTACGATGTTGATCCTTTAGAAAATGACTATTATTACAATATGTAGGATAGGAGATAGAGGGAGATTTCTACTTTCTCCCTCTGACTAGGTTTCATGCTACAGAATACATGTAAAACGCCTCCACGCGGCTGGTCTTGCATAGAAACCAACGAACTGCTAATCTAGACAAATGTTAGCTGAAATTGGTAAAACGAAGAGGTTTGTGCCGCAGTGCTAAGCACCTTAAAAGGCACATAGGGAGGCAGAGGCAAAAGAAAGATATTCTTCTTCTTCTTCAAAAGAAGAAGTTCCTATTTTGCGGAATGTAAACAAAGAGGTTTTGTGGGCTTGAAATGAGGAAACCATGACAGTTCGCCTGAGATTAATGCCATCGTGCATTGCTGTGCAGAGTAGTCTTTGAATGTTCCCAGTAGTCGTGATGCGGATCGTTGTTCCCGTTGAATAAAGACTAAGCTTACCTCATATTTGTCGTTTCTGCCTGTTGCAATTCACTGATACATGAATGTAAATCCCCGATGGTAAATAATCCAACCTCTTGTCTACCACGTCAAGGACATCTCAGAAGAGAACGTGACTCGAACTCGTTCAGGGTGTGTTATTGTCTGAGTCGAAATCCCGAGTTTAAGTTGACGTCAAAGCAAAGATCGCGCACACGATTCGTTGCACCTACTTCTGTATGGTTGGGCGATGTTGGATCGATAGAGTGAGCGATCAGTACTAAGTGATGAATTGTTTACTTGTAAATTTACCAAGTATTGATCAACACTGAGTAGTGATTGTGGGAATAGAGCTAAGTAAATAGAAGTGACAAATCTCAGAATTACAAAAGTTGTATCATGAAATTTAAATATTCCCACGGTTGCGGCTTTTTGGCTCCTATGAATTATGCATCTCAAAATGCAACGGAGATTAATGAAGTTGAAAACAATGAGAGGACTGCAGATCAGAAACGCGATCTGGATTTCGTGGGTGGCATCTCAGACCCATCAAGGTAGCAGCCGTGAATAGGGAATCTCGACAAATGACATTTAAGTCATGCGCGCTTACGGTCAGCCTAAAGCTGTTTGGGCAGCGCATTAAACAAGTGGGATAAGCGGCTTTAATTGTGGTGGGATAAAACGCATTTTACAAATTACCCGCCTTGGTAACTCACAGGATTTAAATGTGTCAGTGTAGCAATTGTGAATGTAAATAGCCAGATTTGTCACAGTGCATTGTTCAGTTGTTCTGTCAGCGAACGTGTGCACGAACAGGGGAAATAACAACAAAGAAGCGGTCATAATTCACCTGTGTATTTATGCTGAGGCAAACATATGCGTGAGCCGAAGAAAATATACATATTTGATATTTCATTTATGAGAAATCTTGTTTTTCCTTAAGGACGTTCTCACGTGACACGCTTGGTTTGTTAATGTTTTGCTACCTTTTGCCATAAAGAAAAGGGTCACTCACAGACAAATTAACACATTTTACTGTGGAGAAATACTGTTTCCGTGTAATATCGATGGTTTCCATGTAAACGGATTCTTCAACGATTGATGTGTTAGTTGGGCCTAGCACTAACTGTTCATACATGCCCTACCTACCACTGTACACAATATTGCCGTGCAAAGCAATGATAAACTGCGCCACAGGGATAACCAGGTAATCGTTATAGGCCCCTGACATATGCAATAAAAGGTGATTCTATTAGCCTAAATGCCAGGGTGCTTTCCCATTATAATACATGTGATTTCTGCAATATTAGTATACATGCACGCTGCTATCAACTAGGAAGAAAGCCAAGCCACCATTTTTCTCATTTGCTCTAATTAGAAAAATACATGTAAAAGAAAGCATTTAATGTCGTTTTTGTAATTCATTCATAATCCCGAAAGTTCAAGACAGTGCTCCTAAAAAGTCATTAATTGATCTTAGCGCTTTTCATGGTGTATCACTAAAACAAACTCGAGCTTGCTTGGCGTTCACTAGCGCTGCGATATTGCTGGATCGAGCCAGGTGACCATATTGACAGTCGAAGCTTCTAACGACCAGGCCCACCTTATTTGTAAAATGAGAAAGCCTGTTATGACATTAAATCATTCATTCCTCGTAAAATACGCAGCCAAAAGCAAAAATCAGGGTTCGTGGAAAATTCTTCCCGGGACGTCAAACAGATAATCATCATGTTGACATGAGTGTCCTCCTGCTTCCGCAGCAAACTGTCCACCGCTTTTGATTGCCTACGTTGGGTACTGGTGTTCTCAGCTACTTTGGTGAGAAATTAGCTTGAGGCACGAATGGATCGCTTCTGGAGATAATTATCCGCGCACTGTTCATGCGACTGCCGTCCCAACTTCGTCTTCACATCATCGAGCACTGCAAGGCACGAGTACATTGGCCATTTTCACGTAAGACAACATCAAGAAAATTATAGGCTGATAAATCCCTTCTACAGGGTTGTTTTTATATTCTAATGCTCCTTCTGTGGTCCTCAAAGGCATTAGAGAAGACGATTCTCAGTTAAACAAGCATTTCTATTAAATGTCGCAAATTGTAGAATGTTAGGTCGAATTGTCACCACCCAAAAGCAGTTGTCAGACGCCTATTACTGTGTGTCAGTCTGGTAAAATATATTCGGACATAGCTTTGCGCAACGAAGTGCAAATTTCAACAACTACATCAAAACTGACAAGAATTTAGGTTAGCAGAAGCAGAGAAAAGATATGTAACTCCTTGACTATTATTTCATGTGTGCTGGTTTCTTGCCATTACGCGATTTATTCTGCAAGTTATCGCCATCTTTCAAAAGCAGAAAAACTCACTTCACAATCTACTACATTTTGATTAGAGAGAATTCAAAATGTTGATGACAGGGCTGTTCGTTGTTACATAACATTCCGCCCCATTCGTTGTTAAAATCAGCTTTTATTTAGAAATGCAAGAAGCGTGCGTGAGACGAGCATTCTTGAGGTTTTTTACGTGCCTTTTTGATTGTTTTTTTATTAGAAATCCTTTAACTACCTTCAACAGATACGGGAATTCCACAGTACGAGTTTTTAAGTTAGTGAAATGGTAATTCGTAGTAAAAGCATTTCTAAACTACACAACTTGTAGCTGCTTAGTAGCCAAACAGGAAGTATTATTTTCTCTAATTTCAACAATTTTAGAGCCGAAGATAAGGCAATGTAATGCGCGATCCGCAATTTAAGATAGCTTAAAAATGCCTAGTTGGGTGAACAATTTTTTAAAAAAAAGGAAGAAGTGTGGCAACACGGAAACAAGTTTTGCTTGTGTTTTTGCTTAGTATGCATGCAGCAGCACCAGTGGAGACGATGTGTAACAGACCTACATTTCACAATGCTTAATTTTAAAGCTTCGGTCTCGAAATGTTAACAGAGGTAGCTCCCATTCTCAGACTTCAACAACAATTCTTTAAGAAAGCAAATTTAACTGAACTTGGGGCAGTCGTTAAAGTGCAACCTATCGGAGAGAAGCAAAGCCCTTAGACAATATGTAAACAGAAAACGGACAATGTCAACATCCCTCAAAACGTTATAATTTATGTTCAGTTGATAAATCATCCTTTTTTGTGGCTTTCTCGGACAATACACAAAACTGCACACATTTATATTGGCTGGTTCTTTCCTTTTGGACTACCACCCCTTGGCCTTTCTCGAGGCAACACAGTTACCTACAAGGTCATAGCTTGTCTCTTTATTGAAACGGCATAGATAGGACTAAATAGGGGTCGTGGATTTGAGTTAAAAGTAGAAGAGCCATGAGTTCCAAGCGTTAGTAGCCAATAGGCTCGCAAAACGTCTCGGTGTACTGCAAAAATCCTTTAAATGAATGAAATGATCGCAGAAATATGTCGTCGCGACGGATGTGTACGTTCTATCTTAAAAAATTTCAACTGACAGGGAATAACTGTTCTAGCAGGATGAAGACACTAGGCAATAGAAGCTGCTCAGGGAATCACTTAGGGGTGTATCTGGTTCGTCTTACTCCACACGCCATATCTACCAAGCCCAGAGTGGACAGAGTGCCACCTTCTGTGGAAAATGCTGAGCATTTTGAATGAAAACTGGCGGCGTATTAGCGTGTGTGAAGTT